GACAATACAAACGTGAGTATATAAACAAGAAAACTTCCAACCTGCTCAAATCCAGTGCGTTCTTTGCCACTCACAGTAACAACAAGATCACCCAAGGCACCAAGTCAACCTAATTTCAATATTTTTTTAATTCACTTGAATAAATTATTTTAAAAAATTAAATAAATAGCAGTACTCCAGGTTTCTTCAATCAGAGAGCAAAACCTACTGACCTTTACAAACATACATTTTTCACACTTTAACAGGAAGTTAAAAGTGAATTCCCGTGGTTTAGTTCGACAGAATAAGGACAACATGTCACATTAGAAACACTGCTCTTTAATGCTGGAAGTGGGGCTTTATAAAGATTGGGAACCTGCCACAAGACCATGAATAGCCAGGAGGGCACTTGGCTTTCCACCATTCTTCGGTAGCTCAGGAGATGGATGACCACGCCCAATTAATTTACTTTAATTTCCATTCCAACTTTCCTCCTCATTAATTAGGAGCTGAGGTTCACACAGATGACAGCTCCTGGCACGCAACGCCGACGATGACTTTAAGTGGTGCACACTCCGAGATCGAAATGAAAGGACACAATCTGTGCTGCCCGAGTAAAAATCAGAGATTTCCTTCTTTTTACCCAAAGGGAACCCTAAATTTAGCAGATCAATACTTCCTGAAACATGTTTCACTCAATAAACTAAAACAAAGCTACCACAGTGATCCCAGGGAAACTCACTGAGCTGCCCCTGGAAGAACTGATGACCGAGCAGGCCCCAAGAAATTGCATCATGTTTATTACACAGCACTAAGCCAAAGGCAATCAGATCCTTCTGGTTTAATCAATGGCCCTCAAATAAGGAAGCAGTTTGAAAATAAGAAGCATAAACCAAAATGCTCTTTTGGGTTCACTTTTTGAATTTTTCCCTGTGTAGAAAACCTGAGCACGTGCTGAAATACAATCTTATTAAAAATCTACATCTTGAATACCTCTGATACAAAAGTGGCACTTTTATTCAAACTCAGTTTGCTTTAAATGCTGTAACTGAACTGCAGAGGAGTTCTATTAAAAGAGTCTGAACTCTGTCTTAAA